TTTTTTTTTAATGTATTGACCCCACTGTTTGGAGTCAGACCCTGCTCAGTCTTCCAGCCCCACTCCCAGAGAACCCTCCCAATAAACTATATCCTGTCTATTAGCCTGGCCTGCTGAGCTGTGTGGGGCAAGGCTGTGCCCACATTTCTGCCCACCCTGCCTGGGGGCTGTACTGAGAGGGGGGTGGGGGAGCCCCTACAGCATCCCCCAACTCTCTCTGTCCCTGGGACAGGAGCCAGCTGGAGGACACACTGTGGCCCTGGACAGCTCTGCCCCTGGCCAGCCCTGGGTGGCACAGTCAGATGTGCAGCATTGGAGGGGATGGGTTGCAGCAGGCAGCCCTGCCCACACAGCAGCAGCAGGGCTGTGCTGCCTTCCTGCCCGTGTGCTGTAACCCTATGTCACTCTTCCCACCACCAGACATCAACGAGTGTGCCCAGGGCTTACACAACTGCAGCCAGCTCTGCACCAACACCCCTGGGGCACACACCTGCCGATGCCACCCAGGCTTCCGTCCCCTCGACCCCACTGCCAGGCACTGCTTGGGTGAGTACTTGCAGGCAGCGGGGCTGGCAGCCTGCTGTACCCCCACCTGCTGCTGCCAGGCACAGCCATGTTGTGCCTTGCTGTGCTCACTTTACCTGGCCCCATGCCACCCAAAACATGGGGGACAGAATGGAGAGATGGTGGCTGTGCAGGAGTTGATGGCATGAGGAGGCATCTGCCACCTGGCAGCCTTGGACACAAGTGGTGGCAGGACCACAGCTGTGTGGGCACAGACATTGGAAGTGCCTTTGAGTCCTAGCTTCACAAGCTGCCCCATGCCCCCTCCATTCCCTGCCCTGCCCTTGCTGGATGAGCCCTGTGCCCTTGGGACAATTCTGACCCTCTCCCATTCTCTTCCAGACATAGATGAGTGCCAGGCACAGCCTGGCCCATGTGACCACATCTGCCACAACAGCCCTGGCTCCTTCCACTGCCACTGCCACCACGGCTTCTCCCTGGTGGCAGGAGGGCGCTGCCAGCACAACTAGCCTGCCCCAGCGCTGCCAGGTGCCCCCCACTTGCCTCCAGCCCCGTGCTACCTATGCCCACTGCCAACTGAATAAACCCTTTCCTGCACTGGTTTCCCTCTGTGTCCCTGTCACTGGGGCCACAGAGCTGCCACATGGGGCTGTCCCTGGCAGCCCAGGCACTGCCCCATATCTCACTCTTATTTCCCCCCATGCTCATTCTTCTTGTGAGGATCTGTCGCCCAGTGTGCTGGGAGATGCCCAGCCCAGCTCTGTGCCCCCCACCATTGTTCTCCTACCCACTAAGATGCAGGATGACACAAGGCAGGTGGTAGGGGATGAAGCATGGGGTTTATTGAGGAAGGTGTCCATGCAGGGGGGCCCCAGTAGGAATGGTGAGGCCAGGGTCACCCTGCACACATGCCATGACTGAGCCAAAGGGAGTCCCATGGGGCAGAGTCTTCTTTCCAGTACCCTGGGAGAGTAATGGTGGCTCCATTCGGCCCTGCACCCAGGCACGGGCTCTTCCTCTCAAGAGTGGATGTCACAGGGACCCCTCTATTCCCCCTGTTCTGACACTGGCCTGTGAAGCCTCGTGCCTTGCAGCTGGGCCCAGGTGCCCTTTAGGGTCCCACCACAGGCCAGGTTGAGAATCAGGGTGCCAGCGGCAGATGCATGCAGGACTTGTGGGCAGGGGAGGGCTCAGCAGTAAGAGAGGAAGGGTCCTGGCGGAGCTGCTCCACCAGGCAGCCTGCCTGTGCTGGGGCAGGTCATTGGGCAGAGCGAGCAGGGGGCTGAAGGCAGCCAGGTACAGGCAGGACCTGCCAGGAGTGGGCAGGGAGCCTGCCTCGCCCATGTCACAGCTCAGCTTGGACCATGCTGGGCAGTGCACGTGCCTGGCGTACGCAGCCGAAGGGCAGGATCCTGCCCAGAACTGCAGCTCCCTGCTCTGGGCACAGGGTTAGGGGTTGGGGAATTTTTTGGGTCCAGCTAGGGATGGCACCAGGTCAGGCAGGCAGCAGAAGCAAGTGCCCAGTGTCATGGCAGCACTGAAGGATGCCCCTGGCATGGATGCTGGTGCCAGATGGATCAGGGCATGTGGCCAGGTCTGGGAAGCAGCAATAGGCAGCATGTGGTGCAGGGCTGGGGCAAATGCATGGCACCATCATGCAGATGAAGCTGCACCAGGGCTCTGCCAGGCTCCCTGTGCAGTGGGCACACCGTGGCTGAGCCCACCCTGCAGCACCAAGAGTGGGATGCCCCACGGAGGGGGTGCAGCAAGTGCTGGCAGTGCTCGTGGGTGTGGGGCTGAGCCTCCCCTTCCCTAAGCACTGCCTGGGGCTTTGCTGATCCCCTAGCTTCCTGACGCATGGCACGCAGGGCACTGCCCGCAGCAGGGCAAGCTCCTTCACTTGGGGCAGGGGCAGCAGCGTAGAGCACCCAGGGGGCTGTGGGAGCCCCTTGGCACTGTTTTAGCTCAGTGGAAAGCACCTGGGATGCCCCAGTACCAGCCCCTGCCCACAGTGGGTCTGAGCAGGGGCAGAGACACTGCAAGGAGCACAGAGCAGTGGGGGGTGGATAGCCCCAGTGGGCAGCCCCTGGCCCCCCCCTCCCACCCACCCTGGGCTCAGAAGCGAGTGCTCTGGTAGTGCAGCCTGCGGAGCTCGGAGAGGCCACTGTCCCGGCAGTACGAGTCCCTGCAGGGACTCTCTGCCAGTCACCGGCCCCCCACCCCGCCACCCCCCCCACCGCTGCTGCTGCTGGAGCTGCCGCTGCTGCACCGGTCCTCGTAGATGGAGATCTCGATCTGGGCCCTGCTAAGGATCATAGGTGGGATGTGCCAGCTGCAAATCCAGTCACCAAGCACCTGTTGCTGGTGTTGCCCCACCCCTCACCCTCGTCATCCCCCCCACACCTTGCTGACCAGAGGATACGACCCTCATGCCACGTTCCAGGGGGTCGGTGAGCAGCAGCCCCCGCGGTGCATAGATCTTCTCGTTCTGCTCCTGGATGTACTTGGAGATCTTCTTCAGGACCTGGTGGCACACGGAAGGACACTCAGGGCCTGCCAGCCTTTCTGCATGCTCTGGTCTCCAGCCCCCCTGCTCCCTCTGCCATCCCTGTGCCCACTGTCAGGCCTACAGCCATGACCATCCCTGAACCCTCCCCTGGGGCTCAGCACCTTCTCGTAGTGTGTCTCCATGCAGAGGAAGATGAAATAGGCAGTGGCACAGGCCAGGCACCCCTCCAGGTACGAGCTGCCCCCGATCTTCTCTGCCTCAGCGTAGAAGCCATTAAGGGTTTTCACTGTTTCTTCAAAGAGCTGCCGCTCGATCTAGAGCAGAAACTGGGGTGAAGAGAAGTCCCTACAGAGGCTGACCCCCTACAGTGCCCTACCCCCCTCCCTGGAGGGGTCTGCGGACCACTTAACTCCCTCCTCCCTCCATCTGATGCCTCAGCTCCCTGGCCCCTGCCCACTGCCCACCCATGCCAAAACCTACTGAGCCTGCAGCCCTTCACCAGAGCCTCCTGGTCCTCAGGAGCAGCGAAGCCACTGCAAGACCCTGAGCAAGGTGGCTGTGATGGCCTGCACCCAGCAGCACCATCTGGCCCAGGACCATACAAAACCCTCTGGGTGTCCCATGAATTCAGAACCCTTTCACCCCCGAGTCCCCACAGGGCACCAACAGAGGGCATCTCCCACCCCGTCAGCCTGTCAGGATCCCTACCCGGCTCTCCAGCTCAGGGGGGAACTTCGTCTGGAACTGGCATGTGGTCCCGTCGCTGTAATCCCGCTGCACGAAGACCTTGGTGGCCAGGGAAGCGCTGCGCCGCAGCTCCTGCAGGCTGTGCACCTGCAGGGCAGCGGGGTGAGCCGGGGGGCTGCGGCCGGGAGGTGACAGGCACTCCTGGTGGGCTCTGGGGACCCCAGGTCATGCCATTCCCCCCACATCAGGGCACGGGAGCCGCAGGCTCGAACACCCCGAGCAGAGAGACGCCAGCATGGGCTGTGTCATGCCACGAGCACAGCTCGGCTGCTGCACGCTCAGCTGTGTGTCCCCGGTGGGTCACATTCTGGGGAGGGGACAGTCCCCTGTCCCAGACAGCCTCTTGGCATGCAGCTCCCGGCAGGGGGAGGGGAGGGAACAGGGGCAGGGG